CAAGAAAGCAAAAATGGGAATGCAAGGCTAACCTCTCTGAAAGAGATGCTCAATAGGATCTTCAATCTTCAAGTCAAAGCAAACTCCTTGTTTCTCCTTCAAGATTTCGGCCCTAGGTCTTCTAGAGGAGAGAAAATCGTTGTTCTTTTCGTTCCCAAATCGAGCTCCCCTCAAAAGTTCGAAAAAATCGGACTAAATCTGTTTTCAGGTCACGTGATCAGCCAGACCAAGGTTTGGTCCGGCGGACCGGACGTAAAATGAGTGAAGCAACGCGGCGCAAAACTGTTTCTGATCCGGCTGACCAAAACTGGTCAGCTCCTGACTAGGTCTTCAATGGGTTCACTCCGGCTGACTCGGAACACGCTGGCGGACTGGGCTTTGTGCGGAGAACGTTCGGTTCGGCGGATCTGAGGCGGTCATCTCTGGATCGTGATTGCTTTTGGGTTTGGTCAGCTCGTCACGGTTCGGCGGACTGGCTGAGCACGAAACATTCCTAGTCCGGCTGACCAGAACTGGTCAGCTCCGGACCAGACCTTCATTTTCATCTGGTTGGCGGGCTTGGCTCAGCGCTGAGCGGACTTGTGTTGGTAGTCTCCTGGTCCGCCGGACCAGCGTTGGTCAGGGGCGGACCAGATGAACTGTGAACTTTCTTCGTCTTCTCTCCTCGGCCGGACTGGATGAACTGAGCAGATGTGGTCCGCCGGAGTGGAATCTGGTCAGGGGCAGACCAATGGTCTGTTTTCTCCGATTCTCGCCAAATTTGTGCATTATGCCCTCGAGGTCCTGCCAAAGTCAAGAAATGGTCCCAAGACCCTAGGATGGCTCTAAAAATGCCTAAGAATGTGTGGAAATCGTTTAGAAACCAAAGGCATAATCGTATAAAATCTAGATAAAATCCGAGCCATTAAATCCCCCCAGACTTAAATCTTTGCTCGTCCTCGAGCAAATAAAATCAATGAAACACAAAGTCTGAGAAGAACGGTGAGATAGAAATCGGTCTTTGATGAGTTTCAAGATCTAGTTGCATGTTCACTGCTCAACTTATGAGAGTAGAATCGAATCTAGGCTACTCTAGCTACTCTCTCTTGTCAGCTAAACTTTTCTAAGTATGGGATTTCTATATCGTCCTTAATCTACCATAAGAGTAATTCCAACTTCCAAGCACTCTCCTAAACCTATTTACCATTTTTCTCCTCTAAGATATGTAGTCTCTTTATTTATTTTGTTCACAAAACTTTTTTTTTTCTTTACAAGAAAATGCTAGGAGAAGTAATATCCCGAGTTCTTAGGACGTTGAAGTTGACAAGTGTCTCCGTTTTTGCTTTTCTCTAAGAATCATGACAACACTTATCCCACAACTTAGACCCGAACCGTCGAATTTCGACGTACTCACGTCATCGAATGATTTTCATTAACGATATAGTGACAGCGGAGTGTTGGGATGTATATACTTTCTTCGCTTATTCCTACAACATTCTTTCCAAGAGACTATCTATCCTATGGGAGAAGCTTCGGGAACGGTTTTAGGGAGATATTTAACCTGGGTTCGATCGGTCCTACTCTTTGGCATACCTAAAGACAACAATATACCCCATAACCTAGAATCGCAAGCATCAAAGAGAGGGTTTGTTATTCACCTATCATCGACAATCTACTCGAACACCTAGGGGTCTAAGTCCAAATCGCTAAGCAATTTCTAAACAGCTATCACCATCATCTCATCATCGACCAATCTCAACTCAAAACGGTTTATGAAATGCATATGTTCCTATATGCTCTAGACCTATATGTAACAAATGCAATCCAAGGCTAGGTGATGTCTATATGTGCAAATGCAAGAAATGCAGTGTGGAATGCATCTATAGTGAGAGAAAAATGATGATGAATTTTTTTTTGTATGCAAGTGAATGTATGAATGCACCCTAAGAGGGACTTGAAGCGATGTTAGATGCTCAGCCCCCCAGACTTGAATGAGACACCGTCCGCGGTGTCACTCGAATCTGAAGGGGTGGAATATGTGGAATATGAAAGAATTGGATCTAGGTGGAGGAGGGTTAATGTGTAACCTTGGTGTCCAAGGTTGAAATATGCCTCCTTGCATTCCACTTTTGATGTATTCCACATTGTGTGTCGTCTTTTGTTCCAAGTCGGGATTCAACCTTAGATAAGAGCTTAAAACAAACAAAGATCAAGTGAATCCGATAACAGTTAAGCGTACAAGACAATATAGCAAAATAACAACGCACATCGCAGGTCCGAAAATGCAAAAGAAGTGAAAAGGAAAGGGAAAGAAAAAGATCCTGATGCAATCTCTGGCGATGCTACTGTGTCTCGACGTGGTCAGTCTCCATGTGATCGGTGTCGCTCGGTGGTGGTGGTGAATGCCTGCGTGGTGCCCTCGGTGAGTATGACACATGCGGAAAGTAGATCTGCTGCGGTCCGTAGGCATCGCCGGGATAAGGGTAGTCTGGTGGGAGAGGGACTGGCTGTACGATGTTCTGCATCCTCGTCACATAGGTAGAATCGTACCGGCGGTTCACTTCTGTCTGGTAGAAATGGTAATGTCCAAACTGCGTGCGCATAGCCGCTACAGAGCCCCCTC